ACTGCATAAAATCTTTCCTGTTCAATTTCGTGATAAGAGACCTCGGAAACTTGTTGCATCAAACTGTAGCAATCTCTCTAAATTCATTAAGCAAATTGAATACTCGTACAATCAAATAGAGTATAGCTGATCTGAGGGGGATATAAAAATAAAATTGTGGGTTATTTTGGAACCACTTTGAGATTACAAAGAGACAATGGGGATCAAACGTGCATTAAGTGAATTAAATCAGCAGGTAAAAGGGAGAGGTACTTTTGAATAATACGTTATTTCTTGCATAACATAATTACAATATTCTGACACGGAGAAGTGTAAAACTATGACAATCAAGGAGGCCATAAAGGCGCCCTACAATTGTAGGGACGACTGACGATACGGGCCTAAGAACTAAAAACTACCTTTCTTTTAACATGTAGACTTCGGAAAATTGTCAGTTTTAAATGAGAATAATAATTCATAGCTTTTCTTCCTTATAAAACCTACGAAAGCTTCCCCCGGCTAAAACATAGAAATTCTTGGCACGTTTAAATTCACTGCGAACCTATTTAATTTATGCAAGCGTACTTTGAACTTTAACCGTATCGAAATTCAAATAAAAAGTAAACGCAATATATAAGCTTCTAAAATACACAAATACACACTGTAATATTCTAAACCAACAGCATCAAGTCTCCCATTAGATTGTATAATTTACATAATTGCTGACTGACGATTTGAATACCAACAGTCACCTTGAAGGAGAAGCTGGCTTGATCCTAAAATAATCATCACCTGTTTGTGTGTACGTACCTGTCGTGAATCTTTGCCTGTAAATCTTTACATTGTTCGACTTTTATCGCGGTCGGAGCGGTTACATAAAAGTTGCATGACGGTGACGTCGTCCTCTCAAACTATTATTGACATTGAACATGAAATTAGAACGTCCGCCTATCGACGCTTTGTTGTACACACTGCGGCAAATATATTTTTGCTTTATTTCCCCCTCGCATTCAAGCTCCAGAATGACATCAACGGATCAACGGAATATGATGATAGGTGAGAACAAGGCAAAAACTGAGTATCATAATTTTCTCTTTGTAGAGGGCTACCATCGCCTAAATTACTGATGCCGGACAAAAGATTCAAAAACTTACAGCATAACAAATGTAATACTCAGGTTGCTACTACTAAAATTATTTTCTCTTTCTGAGGTAATCAAGAAACAGCAGTAATTAGAGACGAAAAAACAGTTGACGTTTCTAGATGTTCTGAAAATTTTTGTAACAATGGTTACATGGACGCTTCGCCACTGCAAACCAGTCAGTTACATATCGACCACCCTGTAGAAAACATGTGAATAAAATAAAGCAAATACGTATATCTGTTATGACTTAAATTAATAAACAGGAGTCAAAAGTCACTCGAAATAGAAAGTAAATCCAGGAATCAACATTAATGACGTAATTCCTGGTATGACAATATGTTTGATGTTACGTTCCACTGTGAAACTTGTGACAGCGGCGTTGACACATAACAGGAGTGACTTCACCATAACATATACTAAGTGACATATATATCCGAACACCCAGTTTAAATGGTTTTATTTTAATAAAATTTTTTATAAGTACTTAATGAAGCATAATAAGTAAATGATAAAAATTTCAAAATGATTGTACTGTTTTAAAGCCCTTTGACCTTTAATAATGTGTGGATGCACCCTGATGTGCTACGCATTCTCCAACGCGCCTAGGCATGCTTCTGATCAGGTGGTCAATGTCCTCCTGTGGTATCTCATTCCAGGCAACTACCAACCCCTCTCGAAGTGCTTCTAGAGTCTGAGGAGGACGTTGCAAAGTGAGCAATCTCCTACCCATCATATCCCACACGTGCTCAATTGGGGATAAGTCGAGAGATCTTGGTGGCCATGGTAACAATGTGACATCATTATGTTGAAAGAAGTCTATTGTGACTCATGCAACATGTGGTCGGGCATTATCTTGTTGTAAAGTTGGATCTGCCAGGGTGTCAAGATAGGGTAAAAGATGGGGTTCTAGAACTTCGTGGATATTACGCTGCGCGTTCATGTTACCTCCGATGAAGATTAAAGGTGACCTGGAACCATAAGCTACATCACCCCAAACCATAACTCCAACAGTGTGATGAACATGTCTTTCAACAAAACACTGTGGATTCCTCCTTTCACCACGTCGCCTTCTAACCCTGGCACGACCATCGTACATGCCTAAACAAAATCGAGACTCGTCACTGAAGACAATACTGTTCCATTCCTGATCCCAGAGTGACCGTTGTCTGCACCACTCAAGGCGATTACGTCGGTGTTCTCGAGTTAAAGGGAGGACCCAGTGTGGCCGGTATGAAAACAAGCCAAAACTTCTCATTCGTCGGTAAACACTTCGCATGCCAATAGGTCTTCCGTGTTCTGCAAACCATTCATTTGCAATGGACCTGGTAGTGGAGAAACGGTCCCTTAAGGCCAATAATCTTAGGCGGCGATCTTCACGGTCTGTTGTTCTACGGCGGCGTCCAGTGCCCCTTGCTCTTTGCGTACGGCCTTCTCGAAGCCATGCCTGACAACACCTAACCACAGTATCTACACTTCTTTGCACTCTAACTGCAATTGCCCGAAAAGAAAGTCCAGCTTCCCGAAGTCCCACTATACGGCCCCTATCAAACTCTAAGTTGACGAAATCGTACCGGTCTCCGTACTCTAGGCATCGTAACCGATCGTAAAGGATGTCAAGAACCAAAATCCGCCAACGTTGATTTTTTACTGCGGCTGAAATATTCATTTTTAGAGCGTTAGTGAATTAAAAAAAAGCAGTATAAAAACCGGAATGTCCAACTGATAAGGCTGAAAATTTTTTCACTTGTTATTTACAGTAAGATAAATACATTCACCAACTTTTATTAAAATAAAACCATTTAAACTGGGTGTTCGGATTTATATGTCACTTAGTATATAATGGACATTTGGCGGTACACGAGCTGCTTGCGTACTGGCTAATTGCTTGCTATTCTTCAAACTATAGCTCGAAAGAATTTGTTTAGACAACTGATGAACATGCAGGAAGATGCATTAGCTAATTTAAAACTTGGCAATATCAAAAAATCAGCCGACACACAGATGTTAAAGCGTCAGAACCGTATACAACGTGATGTTTTGCTTGTACAGATGAACACCTACGGCCTTACATAAGAAAACAAAAGTAGATAGTGACATTAGACAGTGTATGCAATGCCCACTACGATCTCGCGCTCCAGTTATTTAGATGCCGAAGTGACCTTGAACGCTATCTACCCGTCAAGAGTGGAGTGTGTATGTTCGTTGTGTACGTTTGTCAGTTTGTTTTGCAATCGATTCTGCTAGATTCAAGAGCGTTACAGGGTTATAATTATTGCATCGGTGGAATTGTGGAATGCGATCGTGGCGATCCCAATGCATTCATACGTTGTTGCCGGTTATTTCTCGTCTGGAACGCAATGCAGGATATCAGCGAAGTCCCAGATCCCACGTAACATTGAACGACCATCATTTGTCAACTTCAGTGTTCAGTACTTCAGTAGACGGATGAAATGATAAGCACCCCTAGATGTTCGTTTGATGTTCTTCTTTGTTGTCAACAACAATTCATTTCCAACACTGATGAAGTTTATCGCCCACATGTTTTTATCACGTGTTGGAAAAGAACGCATTTAAAATGTGTACAATGATCAATTTCTGTAGGAGGAATCATCCAATAGGAATTGAACATGGATCATCAGAAAGAGACAATTTTATGTGAAAGTGTACATGCCATGAACAATTTTTGAAGAACGGAGGATAGCAAATTTTCCTAGGGAGGAGGACAACTACTAAAAATCATGCTAAACCGCTTTACAGACCCCTCCCTCCTGTGGGCGCCCATGGTTTTGAATGTACAACTTGCGCTTTGAGAACCAATGTTTCAGTGCGACCTTGAATCGGGACTTTTCCTAAACAGTCAACAGAATAACATAATAAGGTCGAATGTAGAATGTTTATCGAATATCACAGCTTGTTTGTTTTCCTCTTCATATAAAAATGAGCCATTAAATCAAAAGCTTTGCCGTACTAAGGTAACACTGATTATGCATGTTATCGTGAATTCCTATTCTTATGAGTAATGCCTTCTACTGGTATGAGTAATGTAACTTCGGGAATTTTATTGTTTATGTTCTTCGCTTTGTTTGATTCACCACATTCTTGCTGACAAATTGGTGACAGATGTTTATGTCATCTGTTCATATTCAAAGTACAAGATCGGCATGCTAAGAAAAACTTACAATTGACCACAGAAAAAACGTAGAGGCACAAGTAACAACATAGAAATACATTAGGTATAAAAATTTGTCAGTACGCATACGTCTCTGGCTAAAATATTGAACTAAAATATCTCTTATGGAATTTAGTTATGAACTTCTTCAAAATAGGTTTAAATTGATCTGTATTAAGTTAACGAATACTTGTTGGTAGATCATTGTACCTACAGATCGAAAGTAATAAGTCATTCAGGTATATTAAAAAAAAGGCAAGGGCCCAAGATTGAACCCTGGGGCAACCCAAAGCAAATGTCCTCTAAATCGCATACAGCCCCGTACCACAACACACTGCTTTCTGTCGTATAGATAAGAGCGGAATAGCTTTAATTCATGACCTTACATGACCTCTATTATATAGTATTAGGTTCGATTCGTATTCGTTTTGGAATCATTAATCATACTCTATAGTAAACGTATATGTTTCTTATACTAAATCACGTATTGATTGGTTTAGATCCGAAATTGTTTGCGACTTTATGCATATAAGCATCCCTGTTGCACGTTGAACCCTCTGGCCTGAAATTCATATTCCATGCATTAGTAGATCGTCCTTGTCTAAACACATTATTGAATTGTCGGTCATCAAACATTGAATGATGAGAAACACGTGTATTTTATACACCATAACTGGATTGACTAACTGAATGTCTATTTTGTTTCAGGATCTGGAGGTGATGGGAATCACCACTTCAAAATGCTGGTGCCCAGCGCTGCAGCTGGCGCCATTATTGGAAAAGGAGGCGAAACAATTGCCCAATTGCAGAAAGAAACCGGCGCACGCGTTAAAATGTCAAAGTCACATGACTATTATCCCGGTAAGACAACAACGATTTGGTTGTTTTTTCAATACTAAATGGTACACTTCTGGTTACTGCTCAGGCAGTAAAGACGCTGCATACCTTGCCAAAAATATACCACAAAATTGGTTGGGCACGTTCTACGAAGTAAAATCGTTAGCTTCTGAACCACATCAAGTAAAAGCATATAGTCAAAATCACGAAAGATGTCTATTACGTCATACCATAAATTGTACTGAAGTAATCAATGGACGTACGTCGATGATAAAATCACGAGTCAGAAACATAATGACAACAAATTTATATTATGATTTTGCGAAGTTAGGTTATTTCACTGATTATTTCTATTTTCATTTTATTGCATGGTTTTGAGTGATACCTTAATAATAATTAGGGGGGAGTTTTTGTTTTGAAAAAAAAACAGTTATGAGTAGAATACCTTAAGAAAGGAACACCAATGACCAAAGTATTATTCGAAAACAACATAAATCCTGTTTTAACATAACCTAAATATTCATCTTTCAAATATGATCGATCACGAAACATGAAAACATCGTCTATCTTTGTAGGATACATGCAAATTAGCAATATAGTTTGTTTAGACAATAGAATTCTGTTTGTCTCTGTCTAACATATCAGAAACTTCATTAAATATATTCACAAATCGCTGTCGTTTGTCTTTACTACAGACTAAAATGATGACGTAATCGTAATCTTTCGTGATTTCGATTTTACGTCAATATTCATAACCTCTTATCGGATATAACATTACACAGGATATATTAACGTTTGAATAATCGGCGCGTATGACAAGCTACAAACATCCTTGGATAGAAGATAACTTTTTAAAATCTAATAAAAAAGCGCAATTGTTTCTTATACTCATCGTATTAACAATTCTGTCATTGGGAAGCGTTGTAAAAAGGTCGCTTTATTTGAATAATTAATCTCCAAAGAAGCGCTTTGATTGCACTTGGATACCGCTTTTGTGATTTCGACTATACTAGCCTGATTCCTAAAGAACACACATAGTCACTTCGATCTCTCACCGGTTGCGTCTTGATTCGTCAAAATAGTTTCTATCGTATATCCATATTTTCTGCAAATGTTCTGTGTTGATCTTTCACTTTATCTCCTTCTAGATGACATTAAAACGCAGAAACAAGAGTCAGACTCGTTTTAGTCATCGTTCGAGGTGAGGAATTTTTGGATGAGTCCGGATGCCGAAAACCAGTCTGTCGCTTAAATTCGGAACCAGTTTGCAAACTTGTCGGTCGTACGCAAAACGAAATATATATCACCAGTACAACAGGTTCTGATTAAGTATAGTCCGGTAAAATATATTTTTGCTCTGAGGCCACATCTTAGCGTAAACATTTTCAGGTGTACGAGTGTAAGATCCTAGCGATCGATAAATTTAGATCAACCTGAAAAAGTGTCAATAATGTTCGCATTTAGGGTATTTTGGAAAAAACTGGATCTTCATTTTATGCGAATACAGATAAAGCTACGCATACACATTTTGAAGATAATAAAGAGAAGATGAAATCAACAACACAATCTTGGAAACAACCGCTTACCAAGAGCCAACACTTACGAGGTCTGTAAATTAAGAAATGAGACTGGCAACGTAGCGTTGGATCTGGCAACACTGGAGGCGCCGGGCTTGGAGGAGAGACAGTACAAGTTTGCCATAGAACCGACCATGTTGCAAAATGTCATTGAAAATTTCGACCATCGCGTGGACGTCTGTAAATCCAGTCGTGGTGAACATATTATTTTTCATTCATAAATGGTATAAATGAACCTTCAAAATAAAGTACCCAACTTGATTTGAATATCAATCTTTCTTGTTTTAATATGCGTTTCCTTTCCTGCGTCCGTTTTGGACAACCCCATAGTATCATGATTCACTGCACCTTCAGTTCGAAGTCCACAGTAGTTTCTTCTGAACGTATCTACCCCCTTTAATGCGTGTTTTACTTGTTTCTGCAGCTTTACCCAAGCAAGCGCTCTTTTGGCGTTTTTCTTTTAAGTTTCATTTTTTTTCATCAATTACTTTGATAGCTATTACGGCCCGTTCATGGTATCGTTCATAGGCGGGACATTATGCTCATTTACGTCAAACTCCAAATTCAGTCACGTGGCTTTCATGAAATTGTCTGTTCAAAATTGACCATTTTGACTGGACTATCCGATCTCGAATATCATCTATATGTACTCGTGGATGCACTTATTCATCTCATCGGAGTATTTTTAGTACTATGGAGTGTGTTATCGTCTGTTAAAGCTATGAAATGATATGTATTAATATTGTATGACACTAGATACTAAACGCGACATACGAATACATACGCCTGCCAACAATGGTTATGCCAGGTATTCCTCAATAAGGTATTATAGTTCCAACATACCGTATACTACAAGTCTATTGTTTCGTGCTTTGAAAGGATTGGTAGTGGATAAACTGGTAACCTACCGGGTTTTTCAATTTCGATCCTCACCATTAGTATTTTCGGAGACAAAAAAAACGAACTTTCCAAAATCATTGTTGTTCCGACTTTATTTGAGATGGGATTTCAGAACAGGTTAGATTAAAATAAGTAATGTTGGGACAAACATCCGATAGGCTCTTTTTGTGCATCTATACAGTGTTAAGCTAATAGGCATGGTTTCATCCGCGAATTCATCCTCGAGTTTGTAATCAACTGCCTCGATTTAGCAATCAACTGTAGTGGCAAAAACTCCTCCGTCAGCGTCAAGCTGGCAACAGCGCGGCATGCCATCGCCCCACTCGACCTGTGACTATCAACAGATACATACTAAAGGTCGAAAACAGAGATCTCGGATTTCGAAAGTACCGGGATATAGGATATTTTCGGTATTTAGCAAAAACAAAATTCTAATTATTTGTATTGGCATTCGTGTAAAAAACCTGCAAATAAATACTATATACAATTGAAGTTCAAACAAAACAAAAACCTCGCGCTATTTGAAATTTCAGTACTACCACGGTTACACGAGTGATCGAGTACTTCCGCAAAATGGTGCGGCTCGAAGATTGAGGGACTAAAGTTTAGATTCCTTGTTATTTTTGCGATCTCATTGCATCACAAATACTGAATTAAGTACCTAACCTAACAGATAATGTATAATATAGAGGCGATACTAAGAAAAATATCACAACTCAAGTTTTCATTGTGTTTCATTTGTTTAAGATTAGTTTTAAGCTCTACTGTAGTTAATTTTATATTGCTTACATTTTTTCCGTTAAAGTCCCACTTTAAACAAAGAATTTTTGATTTTGTTTGAACAAAATGTTTGTGCTTGTTTTGAGCTGATTTACTGTGGTAACTGGCTAGAGGTGAGATTGAAAAAATTGTTGTATGAAATTGTTTAAATATTTTCTTTGTTCATTATTTTTATTTTGCTCTCAAGAGTTCTTCTAGACTCATTTAATATTCGTATATGGAACATAATTACTTGAGAAAACTTTTATATTGTTTAAAAATCTTCTATCTTACCACCGCACTAACGCACATACTTATTTAATTACTAACCTTCTGTATACAGGGTGTCCGCAAAGTTGGGGTTTTCCTTTTCAGAAACAACTACCCTTGAAATAACAAAGGTAATGTGTAGTGAAACGAGGGCGACCAAGTAACAAAAAATAAAGGAAAAAGTACTCACTCTCCAGTTGACGAGAAGGGCTAAGTACGTCTCTGCCCGAAATCATACCGCTCCAACAGAAAATGAAATCAGCTGATGCGCTACCGAGCAGACGCAGAAACCACATTGATTGTCTTACACTTAATGGCACATCGTCTAACAAGGAAGGCAAAATGTTGCGTAAAAAGTCTAGGTATTGCATCCCGTCCAATCGATTTGGGAGAATAAATGGTCCAATGAGCATACCGTTTACCATGCCAGCCCAAATATTCACCGAAAATGTTTGTTGAAAATGTGCCCGACGGACAGCGTGCGGATTTTCTACTGACCAAACATGAGTGTTGCGAAAGTTATTCACCCCATTACGCGTGAACGTAGATTCGTCTCAAAACATGTTGATGCAACAACCACTCACAAAACCGCACTCTTGCTGGAAAATCGTCAGGTTGAACGGCTTGTACACGCTGGATGTGAAACGGCTACAGCCCCTCTTCACGCAGCGTTTGCCACACTTTAGTTTTTGATACTTGCACTTCTCTAGCCATGTCTCTAGTGCTTGTTGAGGGATTCTCGTCGGGTTGAGCCAGTGACCTTGTACCAGTCGGTGATGTCGCGGCTACAGGACGGTATTCAGATATTTTTTATGTTGCAGAGCCCTTTATCTCGGTTCCCTTAAGACATTAGTGTATATGGTACTAAAAAAAATTGCTTATGTTTTCAATATCTACACGTCGCGTCGTGTAAAGGAAAACCCCAACTTTGCGGACACCCTGTATACCGAAAACATTTAAATCTCCATACTTCTCTCTTTGCATTGGTAATATTCACAAGTTGCTGTATCCGGAGGATCGGCATCCGAATGGTAAACAAGTTCCTCAATGATTTTACTATCATCGTCAGGTTGCTCAGCAACTGCTATTTTCTGATTACTTGAAAAGGAGGAACTCGACATTTTAGCCCTAATTTAGGCCAGTGGTACGTTGTCTGAAGAATCTGACAAAGTATCCACTTGATTTGTAAACTTACTCACATCGACATCTAACCGTGTTTACTTTTTTCGTAGGTACAGGTAGATACATAATCTGAATCATGTTTATCGGAAATATTTATGTTAGAATCACCTTGCCACTGTACAACTTCTTTTCTTAAAACCTTTTCACTTTAGTTTCTTTCTTCAATGTATAATTTTTGTGCGGTCCTGTCTTACGCCGGCTCCACACGTTGGCCCCAACGTTGGCCCCAACGCTACTCGCCCAACGTGTGTATCTAGAAGATGATAAAACCGACAATCGACAGCCAACTACCAACGGTCGCTCCAACGTTGGGGCCAACGCTATTTTCTAGATACACACGTTGGGCGAGTGGCGTTGGGGCCAACGTGTGGAGCCGGCGTTAATACAAGTACATCTAACGTAAAAAGGTAAGGATTAAAAGAAGCAAAAAGTTTCATATAACATGGGGGTCAAAACTGCATTTTTTAGAGAAAAGCGACTTTAAAGTAAAATAAAATCTGACAACGCCGCAATGCAATTCATTATTTGATAATGTACTCGTAAAATGCAAACAATTAAAAAAAACGGATTTACCACTAACTGTCTCAGCGCTTCACCTGGTGTGTGAAAGTTTATTGAACGTATTAAAAAAATCCACTTATAAATAGGCAACACAATTTTGATACACACATTGTTTTTCTTTTTAAAACCCACACAGCACTTTTTTTTTGTATTTAAAGAAGGTGTTCAAAATATCGTCCTCCACTTTCCACACAAGCTTCATTACGACCTTCACGAATGGTATGAGAATTTTCCTGGGCCCACGTGTGAGTATTATGGAAATTTAATATCCCGTCTCGCGTAAAAGTACATTCGTCCGTCGCTAGAATGTTTTTAAAAAAATCCGGATTTTCAATGTTTTTGTGCAAAAATCACTGACATAATGTTAGTCTGCGAGGGTAGTCTTCTAGTAACAAGGCCTGCACTTGTTGTACATGGTAGGGATAACGCAAATTTTCCCGTAGGATTCTATGGACTATGGTATGCGATAGTCCTACGCGGCGGCCTAATTCCCGAGTGCTGATATCTGCATTGATTTCCACGATATTTAAAATTTGTTCCTTCTGCTCTATAGTAACCTGTCTTTCACGAGTGCGAATATTAGTGGGCTGAACACTTCCTGTATCTCGAAGACTTTGGTACACTTGCACAAATGTCCTTCTGTCTGGGTGTATCCGTTGGCGAAATCTGTCACGATAAATTTGAGCTGCAAGAGTTGAATTCTGACGAGCTTCACCGTAAACTAACAACATGTCGGCGAACTCTTGATTCGAGAACATTGTAAATCAAAACGACGACGTACGCGAATACAATCAAAACAACATACTAACCACTGTTACCGTTTGCGATCGATTACCGGTTCGATAAGAGTGATGATGAACGACGCGCTGTTGTCATGTGTGTTTTAAATATTCAATTTAATAAAACTTTCTTACTTACTGACTACAAATTTTGGCCTAACTTAGAAAAACTTAATGCCATTTATTTGTTAGTTACCCAATTTAAAACGTTTTAGATCAGATTATAAAAATTAGTAATATTGTGGTCGATATAAAGCACTTAAAGTTTTTAAACTATAAAGCCATTTAGACAAAAATCTATTGACTTTTGGACCATGGGTCATATGGACTTTTTGACTTGTTTTATTACCCATTTCATTAATGACTACCATAACGTTTACACCCTGTATTTACTAACACGACCTTAAACAAAACGTTTTACTGCACCACCTTACGTTTATGTTTCAACTAAAATCATATTGCTGCCGCAAAATAAGAGACGCGATGGATTATAATACGAATCCTAGCTTGTCAAATTGAGGTACGTCAGCGACATGCACAAATTTATTTAGAAAATAAATCTTACAAATCGATCTCACTGGAGTTAGGTCGGTTTGTGAGATGGAAGGCTGTTTATAGGGAAACGTTTTTGGTCGTATCTCAAAATAGGATTTTTTGAGATGTCACTTTGTGAAATTAATGACGAAATAAACTCAGCCTGTATATTTATTTTATCTGCAATCCTCTTTTTTTTTCAGGCACTTCAGAGCGCGTTTGTCTGATCACGGGCAGCTCGGAGGCCATCATGGCCGTGCTGGACTTCATCATGGATAAGATTCGCGAGAAGCCGGATCTGTCCAAAGCCATCTTCGAGGCGGACTCAAAGTCGAATGAACGCGACAAACAAGTGAAGATTCTGGTGCCTAATTCCACGGCGGGCATGATCATCGGCAAGGCGGGCAACTACATAAAGCAGATCAAAGAGCAGAGCGGATCGTACGTGCAGATTTCGCAGAAGTCAAAAGAAGTCAGTTTGCAGGAACGGTGCATCACCGTCATAGGTGAGGAAGTTGATTGGAGATAACAGGATTTCTTCAAAATTGTTTAATCTATCCAAGTTGTTTACAAGGTAGTGCTTGAAAGAAGAAATTGCAATTTTTACGAAACTAGTGAACCCACCACACTTTGTCAATCCTGCAGTAAAACACATCGCATGCCACTGTTAACGTAGCATCAAGATACCAGGTAGCGGCTATACTCGCGATACCAACCTGAAAACCTGATCTCCAAAACTTGGATACAGATAAAACGTAACGCATACATCACATTTTAAAGTGTCAATGTAAGAGAGATATATTACTCACACTTCTGGCAAAACACTTATCTTCATGACAAAAATAAGGGCAGATCCTAGGAACATCGTCTTGGAAAATTTATTACATCACGTAACGATTATTAGTCACAGTTCTGCGCGAAATATGGGTTGCCTTCATTTTACATACAATCTCAGAGACGCTCACCTTTCTCCCTCCTTACCCCAAATGCATTACCAACAGACCAATCTAAACTGAGTGAGATTTGTCTTATTCGCAGCATTTAGGTTATTTTGTCCACCGAATTCAAATTGGGACCACAAAGTCAAATTCCTTTATTAGTTCCGAACACTATATTTATATAAGTATAGAGAGGAACACGTTATAAGTATCACATATAATACTTCTAAAAAGTAAAGGCGAAATAAAAGAAATTAAAAGAACAACAGACAAACTGATAACATAAAATTTAAAAAGTTCATGTGAATGCCAAGTTAATGGCCCTCCTGACAATTGCATTTTTTCAGGTCCTTCAAAAACGCAAGGAACTCATCTATGCTGTAGAAGGTGTTAGATAACAGCATCCTCTTAAGGTACTCTTTGAAGAGCATAAGATTATCCGTTTTTTTAAGAGATTCTGGTACCTTAGACCTTAGCAATGGAAATAAAAATTCAATTACAGTGCTCTACAGTATAGTTAAAAAATAATTCACTGAATTTCACATCATAACTGTTTGGACTGTCTCACTTCACTGGCAAAACTAAAGCAAATCTTATGTTTGAAATATGTAGAGTGATTTTTGTTAATTGTCGTTCAATCAGCTGTGGAATGCTGCCCTCTTATACAAACATCCATCCTATGGCTTCCCAGGGAAGCCCTTTTATATATCAACGACCTCTTTTCCTGTACGATGAATCCAATCCACAGCTTTCCTTATGACAGCACTCTACATGCAGGAATTCGAGTGTCGAGCCAATCTTTGCCGTTGAGCTAGAGACAAGAAGACTAGCAGCGACTTCCTCTCTGACGAGAAATCTGGATGTAATCACTGCTAGGGGACCCAACAATCTTGTACAGTTTAATGCTTCCAAAACACAGTACTGTGCCTGGACGAACAAAGAGCATCATAGCACTCATCCGGGATTGATGGATGTCCGAGTTCTGCCAAAAAGCCGTTCATTTCGGCTGGTCGGAGTTCGATGCTGTTCAGAGGAGAGCTGTCCGATTGATCGATGACTTTTCTCCAACGGACAGTCTCAGAACCCTTGCCCACCAATGGGCCGTCTGGATCTAGCGCTCTTCTACCGCTACATCAATGGAATTTCCTGGCCGTGTTGAACTTCGTACATCCAGAACTGGACGATACGACCGTTCCTTTTTCCCTAAGATATCAAATTTTGCAACAGTTTACATCAGTTCTACTGACCTTGGGCAGTTCAAAAATCGGATTAACAAAGTTTCTTTAAGCTCCCTAAACCAGCCGCGGTGCCCTGACATTTATTTAGTCTTCTGTCTGCGCGTCTGCTGCGTAAAAAAAGTGAACATACTGAGAATATACATTTTGGGGGAAATTCCATCGAACAACATTGAGAATAGAATCGCTTCACACATCTTATCTTGTGCACATGCTGTGTATACAAGTAGTCCATCTGTCACTCTGATTTTGTTTTTGTAAAGACGTAAATCTTTCAGCCACAGGCAAAAAAGGTGTTTGTTGTTTTGTGCATATAGCGGTAATAATGGAGAGGTAGTTTACTTGAAAGTCTTTTTTGATACCCAATCTTCTCTAGTAACGAATTCTTGATTTGTCTTATTGTTTCAGGCGACAAGGAGCAAAATAAGAAAGCCTGCATGATGATCCTAGCCAAAGTCGTAGAAGACCCTCAGAGCGGCACGTGTCTGAACGTCTCTTACGCCGACATTAACGGCCCCGTGGCCAATTTCAACCCGACTGGGTCCCCGTTCGCTCAGAACCCGCAAAACCCCGCCGCGGCGGCTGCTGCAGCTGCCGCTTTCGGAGGCGCTGCTGGACTGACGGCAGCGCAGCAGAGTCTCGCGCTAAACGGGGCTGCAGCTGCCGCGGCCGCTGCCGCTGGTCTACAGATCAGTCTTAATTTGACGGCGCCCGGCGGGCAGAGCGTCACGGGAGTCGCGCAACTGTTGGATCACATGAAGGTGAGTTGGATTCATATGGAAATCACCTGCATTCATAATTTGGAGTCAGCTGCTAAGTTTAGCATCCATCAGGACATAGAAACCATACACGAACTTTGTGTCAATTTATTAACGCGATTTGTGCCGCGCAACAATATCACTCGAAAATGAAGTTAGAAAGAGACATCGTCGAGTGACACTGTCGCGTGCATAAATGAGCGCTAAAACGAGCAATACGACATCCAGTAACGCCCCGCAGCGGAATTCCATAGCATGGCCTTGTCTACTAGATATGTCACGAACAGCGATATTGACAAATATCCGACCTCGCTCTTGGCTTCAGCGCGGAACATTGGGCATCCGAATTTTGCAAGCTTTGACCGAAAGTCAATTATCTGGCCGCGCCATTGTTTAACGTATTCTACTTGACCAACCTAACGCTATATTTCCGCGTCCAAAAAATTATCCCATATAAAATGATACCATATCTATGAGAATGTGTAACAGCTGTTTCTCTATTTACTAAAGAGTACATGTTGGCGTATTCCTGTACGGTGTACACAATCATGGTGGCACTACACAATCATCAATTAATATAAGTGGTTTTTATCTATCTTGCTATCACTACGTAGAACGACACTATCCGTTACTCCTAAAAAAATTAAATTTGTAGTAATGGAAACTAAAATATTAGAATATCACAGGGTGTAGATTTTTCAGATTTTTTTTAAGGCATATAATTGAAAAATACACGAATATTTATCTGATAACTGATATCCTCCGTTTCCGGCTTGACGTCGACTTCTGGGAGATCCTCTATACATATATCTACTTTGAAAGTCTCACAGATGGCGCTGTACTATGAGCGTATACGAGCATACCGATGATGAGCTTCCTTACATCGTAAGGAAAAATCACGATAGAAATGACAAAACCGTTAACTTTTTTAGTAGGAGAAGATGAGGATGTGGAAAAGTTCTATTGCAAACAGATTTGTATCTAAAAGCGGCTTGTCTAAATCATACAGCAAACCATCAAGTGGTTTTTATTAAACGGACAATAAGAATCCATAAATCCAACCACATTCTTTTTCGACATTCAAAATTGTTACAGTAATTTTCGATAATGCTCAGACGCCTTTCTAACGGTTGTATTTCTTACTCTTTGCTCTCCCTCTTTTTCATTATTTTTTCTTTCTGCTTCCTATTAATCATATCTGGTTTCTGGGTGAGCAGGCCGACAGAATAACAAACTGACTGACGTACTTTGACACAAAGGCACCGGACCGCCTTGACATACAATCCCGAATAGAGAAAAATATATCTATCATCGTCTGGCGATATACATATGGTGATAATGTTTGAAAAACGGGTATAGGTTATACGGGAGAGCGAAATAGGTTGGTATGAACAAATGTTAAAAAATAATATAATAAATCACAACTTACCTCTGATAGGTATTAGGTGTGATGTTTTTCGGTAAAAAACATAGAAAGAATACTGTTGCGCGAAAGGCAATAATAGAACCACACCCGCTTTCTATTGGTTATTCAACTACCTTGTTTCCAAGGATCGGCCTCCTGATAAGATTCTCCTGTCTCGGCATCTGAAAGCCATGCTGTGGGATCCTGCGATGGAAAACGTTGGTATGCGGAATACATCTGAATACACCCTCCATCAATTATCCTTTTTTGTTTTATGTGCCAATTTCTAGTGCCATATTTCCATTTTTTCGCCATATTTCTTGCTTAGCGTCATATTCCTCATTATAGGTTGAAGCTTTGTCCATCTGCCCTCGCTACACAGCATACTTTTCATCGATTACAACCACTCCCTTATTGTAAGTGTGTAAGAATATACCTGCAGCAGCTTTTCTAAGTTCTAATAATGTTATCTAGTTCAAAACGCTATAAGTGGAAGCGTTCGGAATCGAAAGAAAACTTTATGATACTTTTTGCTAAAAGTGCCAATATACAGGGTGTCCGCAAAGTTGTGGTTTTCCTTTACAGAAACAACTACCCTTGAAATAACAAAGGTAATGTGTAGTAAAACGAGGGCGACCAAGTAAAAAAAATAAAGGAAAAAGTACTCACTCTCCAGTTGACGAGAAGGGCTAAGTACGTCTTTGCCCGAAATCATACCGCTCCAACAGAAAATGAAATCAGCTGATGCGCTACCGAGCAGACGCAGAAACCACATTGATTGTCTTACACTTAATGGTACATCTTCTAACAAGGAAGGCAAAATGTTGCGTGAAAAGTCTAGGTATTGCATCCCGTCCAATCGATTTGGCAGCATAAATGGTCCAATGAGCATACCGTTCACCATGCCAGCCAAAACATTCACCGAAAATGTTTGTTGAAAATGTGCCCGACGGACAGCGTGCGGATTTTCTACTGACCAAACATGAGTGTTGCGAAAGTTATTCAACCCATTACGCGTGAACGTAGATTCGTCTGTCGCCAATATGCACTTCAAAAAGTCCGGATTATTGTCATGTTGATGCAACAACCACTCACAAAACCGCACTCTTGCTGGAAAATCGTCAGGTTGAAGGGCTTGTACACGTTGGACGTGAAACGGATACAGCCCCTCTTCACGCAGCGTTTGCCACACTTTAGTTTTTGATACTTGCACTTCTCTAGCCACGTCTCTAGTGCTTGTTGAGGGATTCTCGTCTACGCGATTACCTCTACACGCGTGACCGTAACCGTCAGTTGAAGGTTGCATACTGACCTGACACACTGACCCCGACCCAGTTCTGTCGTAGGGTTGAGCCAGTGACCTTGTACCACTCGGTGATATCGCGGCTACAGGATGGTATTCAGATATTTTTGATGTTACAGAGCCCTTTATCTCGGTTCCCTTAAGACATTGGTGTATATGGTACTAAGAAAAAATGCTTATTTTTTTTCAAGATCTACACGTCGTGTAAAGGAAAACCCCAACTTTGCGGACACCCTGTAGATTCTTTCTGGATAGCACGTATTTCCTTATGCTTAATAGAAGTTTTTAACATTTGTATAAATAAAATGATTTCAAACTGCCAAAACTGCTCGCATAGGGCTAGAAGCTGAGATTTCACGATTTAGTCTAGTATCAAAAGAAATTTTCTAACCTGGACGACTGACCTTGAGCAGTTGTAATACTTCAGTGCATAGGCTTTCCATTCTTGCCCACTGAAAATGTGCAAAATGATCGAAAACTGGATACCAAAAAAATGGTTTTACAGTGCATAAGGCTTTGCCTTCATGGTCACTCAAAATGTCTAGAATGATTGAAAATTGGACAACAAAAAATATTTTCGTGTGAACCAACTAAATAATAATAAATATGCATTCACAACATTGGCAATGTCTTGCATGTCACATAACAGTAATATTTAAGACCCATTTACGATCGGACTTTAATGGATAGTATGACGGATGCAATTTTTACTTTTTCCTACTGAAAAGTTCAATGCGCAAAGCAAACATTGACCGTTAGAGTGGCTGTTAAATAAACTCCAGCGCACTTCATTAGTGCAGTCAAGAGACTGAACAAAGCCTGTCTGTAGGTCATACTAAGATGACGAATTTAACTGTATCTTGACAATGCATATTTTACTTTACAATCTCTACGATATATTTGCCAACATAAATCTATCTGGGTTAGTGGACGATATTCAGTTATATAAATTGTACTTTGATTGAAGGCGAATGAAATGCTGAAATGGAAATACATTCCACCTTTCTCATCTGACACAAACAGTTATCAACTAATATGGGGTTGTCCAAAACGGACGCAGGAAAGTAAACGCATATTAAAACAAGAAAGAATGATATTCAAATCAAGTTGGGTACTTTATTTTGAAGGTTCATTTATACCATTTATGTATGAAAAATAATACCGCTCAAATGTTCACCACGACTGGATCTACAGACGTCCACGCGATGGTCGAAATTTTCAATGACATTTTGCAACATGGTCGGTTCTATGGCATTTATCTCGGCAATGATGTTGTTTTTGAGTTCTTGGAGGGTGGCTGGTTTGTTGACGTAGACTTTGCTTTTCAAATATCCCCATAAAAAGAAGTCCAAGGGAGTCAAATCGCACGATCTTGGTGGCCATGTCACATTTCCTCTGCGCGAAATCACGCGATCACCGAAGAAGGACTGCAATCGATGGATATTGACGTTGGTTGTGTGGCATGTTGCACCGTCTTGTTGGAAATAAACATCGTCCATATCCATTCCTTCAAGTTGCGGCAAAAAATAGTCCTCTATCATCACGTGATATCGCTCAGAATTGACGGTAACGGCGTCCCCGGCCGCATTTTCGAAAAAGTAAGGTCCGATGATGCCTTTTGACCACAATGCACACCACACAGTCACTTTTTGAGGATGCATCGGCTGCTCTTGATACTCACGTGGATTTTCGTTCGCCCAGATGCGGCAGTTTTGCTTGTTTACCGTCCCATTCAAAGTGAAATGCGCTTCGTCGCTGAACATGATTTTTGATGAAAAATTGGCATCAATTTGGCGGTGTTCAAGGAGCCAATCTGGGAACGTTCGGCGCGAAAAATGGTCGGCCCGACGCAGCTCTTGCGTCAATTGGATCTTGTAGGCGTGTACATTCAAATCCTTGTTGAGAATGCGGAGCAAACTGGTTCTCGAAATGCCCAATTCTTGGGATCGACGCGTTGTTGATTGTTTCGGATCGTCTCTCACACTCTCCTTCACAACAGCAATATTTTCCGGTGTGGGAACGCTCCTTGGCCGGCCAGACCCTGGCAGATTTGCCACAGAACCTGTTACCTCGAATTTACGCACCAGACGACCGATGGTTGTTTCGTTTGGGCGGTTGCTGCGACCGAAATGTTCACGAAGCGCGCGAAACGTGTTTTTTATTTTTGCACCATTTTTGTAGTGCTCTTGAATAACTTTAATGCGGTCTTCAATCGAATACGACTCCATAGCGATCAATGGTAAACATTCAACTAACAAAATGACATGTCGGTGACAGAAAACAAAGATGGCGTCT